CCTGGGTTTTGGCCACTGTGTGACACAGAGTGTTGGACTGGATGGTCCATTGGCCTGGTCCAACATGGCTTCTCTTATGTCCTTATGTCTGGGGCATTGATACTGTGTGTTCTTGGTGCTTGGGGGGCAACAGTGGAAGGGCTTCTGGAGTTCTGGCCCTGCCAGTGGACCTCCTGATGGCACCTGGGTTTTGGCCACTGTGTGACACAGAGTGTTGGACTGGATGGTCTTACTCACCTGATCCAATATGGCTTCTCTTTTGTACTTGTGTTCTTAAGGAGGAGAACAGGGGTTTAACCCTTTCTTCCCTTGGCAATTTCTCCATGAATAAAAGCTGCCCCTGTACTTGCATTGCTTTTACTCCTGCTGGGGAGAACTTACTGGTACCCATGCATTTTTCCCCCCGCAGGGGTGGCAATTGACAGCTCAGGGGGGCATATTTTTGTGAGACAATGGGAGGAGAGGAAAAGGTTACCCCCCCCAGATGTAGTTCTCCTCCTTGAAAAACTCATCTCCGCAGCTGCATTTGTTAAAAAGCAACATGGAGAAAACGTAATGCATAGTGTGGCCATTCGTCTCCAGGCATCCACCCTTTCCCTAAGTTTCTCATCCCCAATCCTGTTCCTGCCCCCCCCTCCCCCAGGCTGGGGGACAAAACTGAATTTGGGATCAGTGAATTCTCTGTATTTGATAAGACACAAGCCCTGACCTGGATAGCCCAGGCTAGCCCGATATCATCAGATCTCGGGAGCTAAGTTGGATTGGCCTTGGCTAGTATTTGGAAGGGTGCCTGCCAAGGAATACCAGGGTCGTGACGCAGAGGCAGGCAATGGCAAACCACCTCTGAAACGTTTCTTGCCTTGAAAACAAATCTAGCTCGCCATCTAGGGGTGCATAATGCTAAAAGAGCTAGAACGTCTGACTGCCAGACAGTCTTACGATCTCCTGGCTATTTTACACTCCATGCCATATTATTGTTGTTGTTGTTGTTCTTATTGTTATAAAAGTCTCAATCTTTTGCCATTGAACTGCCTACCTCTTGCAAAGCTTACCTTTAGTTGCAGAGCATTCACACGTCATCAAGTAAAATCAGCACTGATTCAGACTTTTTTTGGGGGAAATAAGACTAATTGTGCCATCCTAAGCAGAGCTGCGCCCTTGTAAGACACCTGATAGGCTTAGAAAGATGTAACTGCTGAAAATGGCACTGTTAGTCTGGGGGAGTGGGGGTGGAAACCGCCGTCTTAGTCACAGCTGACCTGTAGGGTTCTCTAGGCAAGAGATGAACAGAAGCACCACCTCCTTTATGGAGATGGTGGCAGAGGTGGCTTGCCATTTCCTGCCTCTCTCTAGCAACCCTGGACTTCCTTGGTCATCTCCCATCCAAGTACTAACCAAGGCTGACCCTGCGTAGCTTCCAAGATCTGCAAAGATTGGGCTAGATTAGGCCATCCAGGTTGGGGCACTGTTAATTCTCCAGTTGTAAATTCTAAACTCTGAGTAAGGTAAAGGTAAAGGTTCCCTTGCTCGAAAGCCAGTCGAGTCCGACTCTAGGGTTGCGGTGCTCATCTCCGTTTCAAAGCCGAAGAGCCAGCGCTGTCCGAAGATGTTTCCGTGGTCATGTGGCCGGCATGACTGAACACCAAGGTGCACGGAACGCTGTTACCTTCCCACCGAAGCGGTACCTGTTTATCTACTTGCAATTTCTTGCTTTCGAACTGCTAGGCTGGCAGGAGCTGGAACTAGAGACGGGAGCTCACTCCGTCATGCGGCACACTCTGGTCTCGAACTGCTGAACTACCGACCTTCCACTGCCTGCAGTTCAGCGTCTTAACCACTTGAGCCACCGCAGCTCTGAGTTACTTTACTTTAAACAGAATCAGCCTCCTATAATCCCGCGTGTATTTGTTGATATGGGTATCTCTGACTCGTCTCTACCCTGTTACTTCGTGACAATCCAAACAGTAGCTGTCTCCGGACTCTTCTAAATCAGGGACCTATCAGTCTCTTTTCCTCTGGGTACAGCTTGTTGATATACCATTCTCCCTACCGAAATGAAAGCATAAAGGGTAAAGAAAGGGGAGGTCACTGGGTAACTGTTGATATGATGCCCTTAGCCACTGAACCCATGTAGGGTATACCCTGATCACAACACTTGAAATAAATCTGACTTCCAAAAAGGTAGTTTTCAGTTGATCGGCTGGCAAACCATCACATGCAATGTGTCTAATTCTCAATCTGAAGATACTTAAATTTGTGGACTAAGGCCATGTTTCCCACCTGTTTAATATGGGAAGGGGGATGCGGAGAATGATATGTCGGGGGCCCAAAATCTGTTGGTCATCCCAGGGCCCAAGGACACCAAATTGGCTGTGACCAGGGCCAGGGCTTTTTCGGAGGCGGCTCCTACCTGGTGGAATGAGCTCCCAGGGGAGATCCAGGCCCTGCGGGACCTTATGCAGTTCCGCAGGGCCTGCAAGACGGAGCTCTTCCGCCAGGCCTTTGAGTAGGAGCCGCCGCCCCACTATTCCACCATCGTCATGGTTCCTTAAAGGATGTACCGACGAGGCCCTGAGGAAGAACCTGGACAACGTAAAGAAGATCCAATAAGCCGTCGCCATTGGGCATAAATATCCTGGGAGTACCACCTGGAACTGTGTTGATTCTATCCTGGACGTATGAGATGAGTAATTGACTGAGCACCATTGTTTTAAGCGTTGGATGTTTTTATTACGTTTTATATGTTTTTAATTATGGCACGGCTAATTACCCTGCCCTTGTTAGCTGCCCTGAGCCCACTGGGGAGGGCGGGATATAAATGTGAAAAATAAATAAATAAATGTCCTTTCTTGGATTCTCGCAAGTGGTTGTGGTTGGTTTTTCTCTGTACCCAGTTCCTCAAGGAAATTTCTCTCCATGAGGAATGGAACCTTCATGCTTTATAATGGTGGAATGTGAACATTTTGTTCTAACAGCAGCTCTCTGATCCATCCCAATCGGCTCTTTGGCATAGTTTACACAGCCCACGTGGGACAATGTGTCATTTACATTCCCTCCCCGCCGTCCCCCCCATCCCCCTCACAATGTATTGAAATCTCAGCTGTGTGTGAGAAGATCTTTCCACGATGTTTGTGTCCTTCACAGGTAATAGGATGTTTCCAGCAGCACCTGTCAGATCTTCTTTTCTTTGTGGTGAAGCGAAAAGCATTTCTGTACATCCAGGTCAGGTAAGGGAGGATATCCCGAAAACGGTATTCTGACTGTGGCTCCCCCCTGCCCCACATCTTCCCGGACCCAAAGGAACCACTTGGAAGGTTCTGGATGCTTCTTGGGAAGGGCTGAATCCTGCGACCTGTCACCTTCCGTGGGCTCTGCCTTCAGTTTGAGCTTCAGACGGGGAAGGAATGTTATCCATGAAGGCCAAATGGTCCTGCTTTCAGGGGCTGGTAACTTTTTTAAATAATATGTTTTTAATTTTAGAAAACAAGATCGTAGTCAAAGGGATACAAAAGAGAGAAAGGGATTATATAACAAAGAAAGGGATTATATATCAAGCCATATATCTGAAATATTATTACACATTGCACAGTATATCAGAAAATAAAAATTATTTATTCCCAACATACCTTTCATCACAGTTTTTGGAACATTTTCTATAAAGTACAATGATCCTTACTTCAGACATTTTAAATTTCAAATTTTATAATTATCTATTTTATAACTATGTTCCAGATTTCATCATCATCACTGCATGTTTTATATTGCATATTTCAGATTTCTACTTACTGTCCATAACTTTTAATATAGCAAAATGTAGGGGGAAATCTATTATATAGCTAAAAAAACTATTTTGTTTCTTTATACATTTATAATCAGAACTTGTTCTCATTCAGCTTCATCTTACAATACGGTCATATGCTTTGTACTACGCTTGTATACAATTTTTAATTGTTCCTCGTTCTAATTTTTAAATTATTTCTCATTCCAAGTTTTTCTCCTGCTTGCATAATAACGCTTAATAAACACTCCATGATCTCTCCTCAAATGTTGGAATTGATCTCTTTCTCAAATAAGTTGTTAATTTTGCCATGACTGCACAATCAGTGAATTTATTGTCCCATTCTTCTAAGCTTGGGTAAATGTCTGCCAAATGTTCTTTTTTTCAGGGGCCGGTAACCTTTGAGGAGGTGGCCGTGTGTTTCTCCGAGGAGGAGTGGGCTCTGTTGGATCCGGGCCAAAGGACCCTGCACAAGGAAGTCATGGAGGAGAATTATGGGCTGGTGGCCTCTCTGGGTAAGCATCTCTCTTTCTGTGGGTTGATCAAACCAAATTTCAAAATCTAAAAAGAGAGAGAGAGAAATCAATCTGCCATGTTTTCCCTCATGCATATTTCAACATCCTTCCCACTCCTTGCCTGTTTCTGCAATCCCAGTTAGAGCACGGTGCTACTGAACTCAAATTTTATTTTACTATTCACCAAGGAAGTCCTGGGTTGCCTCTCAGAGGCAGGCAATGGCATACCATCTCAGTTCCTCTCTTGCCTTAAAAACCATACAGGGTTGCCACAAGTCAGCTGCAACTCAGTGGCCTTTTCCACCACCACAGACTAACACAGTTGTTCACCTGAAACTAAGTAATAGCTGATGAGGCCTGCCTCTCCTCCAAGTCTCTTGGGTGGGGTTTGTTCCCTGTTGCGAGTCTGCATTTCTGTTTCAAGACTTTACCTTTTTTTTGTCTTGTTTATTCTAGCAAACAATGAATGGGAGAATGAAAAGGAGACTGACCCAGAAAGGCTGCCCAGGGGAAAAGACACGTACAAAGAAGTGGACCAGCAGAAAAGAAAAACTGAAGCCCGAGGGTGGAAGAGGAGGAATAAACCTGTAGCCTCTCAGGGTGTCAATGTCTATAAAATCCTAATTGAAGAAAAGATGGAGAAAGGCCAGAGAAAGAGAAAATGCCTCGTGTGTGGGAAAATTTTGAGCTGGAAGTCTAGCCTCAAGGCTCACTGGAAAATTCACACTGGGGAGAAACCATTTAAGTGCCCGGAGTGTGGGAAGAGCTTCCGACAGAGGGCAAAACTAATTACCCATCATAGAGTCCACACGGGAGAGAAGCCCTTCAAATGCTTGCAGTGTGGAAAGAGCTTCATTCAGAACGAATGCCTGACTTCCCATTTAAAAACACACTCAGGGGAGAAGCCATTTAAATGCCTGCAGTGTGGGAAAAGCTTCAGCTGGAGTCATAACCTGACATCGCATCAAAGAGTCCACACAGGGGAGAAACCATATCATTGCTCTGAGTGTGGAAAGAGCTTTACTCAAAGAAAAGACCTTACTTTCCATGAAAGAATCCACACCGGGGAGAAACCCTACACCTGTTCTGAATGTGGAAAGAGCTTCCACCAAAACGCACACCTGACTTCTCACCAAAGGATCCACACTGGGGAGAAGCCATACAAATGCCTGGAATGCGGGAAGAGCTTCACCCGGAGTTTGAACCTCACTTCACACCAGAGGATACACACTGGGGAGAAGCCATTCAACTGCTTGCAGTGTGGGAAAAGCTTCAGCTGGAGGCATAACCTTACTTCTCATCAAAGAGTCCACACTGAAGAGAAGCCCTTCAAATGCTTGCAGTGTGGAAAGGGCTTCATTCAGAAGGAATTCCTGACTTCCCATTTAAAAACACACTCAGGGGAGAAGCCATTTAAATGCTTGCAGTGCGGGAAAAGCTTCAGCTGGAGCCACAACCTGACATCCCATCAAAGAATCCACACAGGGGAGAAACTTTATACTTGCTCTAAGTGTGGGAAGAGCTTTTCTCAGAGGAGAGACCTGCATTCCCACGAAAGAATCCACACAGGGGAGAAACCCTACACCTGTTCCGAATGCGGAAAGAGCTTCCACCAGAAAGCACACCTGACTTCTCACCAAAGGATCCACACCAGGGAGAAGCCATACAAATGCCTGGAGTGTGGGAAGAGCTTCAGTCAGAGTTCGAACCTCACTTCACACCAGAGGATGCACACTGGGGAGAAGCCGTACAAATGCTTGCAGTGTGGGAAAACCTTCAGCTGGAGCCATAACCTGACATCCCATCAAAGAATCCACACAGAGGAGAAGTCGTTCCAGTGCTTGGAGTGTGGGAGGAACTTTAATAAGAAAACAAGTCTCATTTCACATCAAAGGGTACACTCAGCATGGTTGGAGAAAGGATCCTGTGACTAGCCACTTGGTTTTGCTTGCTCTAGGTTTAGAAGTTGTCCCTGTATCCCAGAATCCCCTGAATTACGAACCAACCAAAGGGGAACATTTCCAGTACTTTTCTTTTATATCTAAATGAGCAAATTATAATCATTCAAATGTGAAAGTAATGCTTGACTATAGAAACTGAGATGCCTAAAAATGACACAGTGACCTTACCTATATATTGGATATTAATGTAGTAGTAACAAAATATGTAACAGCGTTCCGTGCGCCTTGGTGTTTAATCTTGCCGGCCACATGACCACAGAAACTTCTTCGGACAGCGCTGGCTCTTCGGCTTTGAAACGGAGATGAGCACTGCAACCCTAGAGTCGGACTCGACTGGCTTTCGAGCAAGGGAACCTTTACCTTTACCTTTAACAAAATATGAATAAATTAAAAGGCCCATTTAACCTTAAATGAGAGATTAATTAAATGCGATTGGACTAAGCAGGTTTCCAGCTTTTAGAAATCAATTTGAATTTCCATCCTGTGAATTCTGCCAAATGGCCAATGTTCATAACTAGTATTGCTGATATCCCAAACCTGTTAGCGTGTTTGTTGGTTCAGTGTGACTGCTTGACTGCTCCTTTCTTTTCAGAAATCAAACCCTGCATTAAGGATTTAATGCTGAGACAAGATTTGCTGTAATTTAAAGGTGGAGTCCTTCTAATTCTTCCAAAACAGTTTTGCGGGTCTGATATATGCTGGGACCTGCATCTGGCACGGTTGACAATGTTTGCCCACAAACCAAGGTTTTGGTCTCATTTATTCCCCCCCCCCCCCAGTCTTGTGGATTACAGCTGAACATCAAGAAGATCAAAGTAATGACTGCCGGGGAGTTATAAAGGTAAAGGTTTCCCTTGCTCGAAAGCCAGTCGAATCTGACTCTAGGGGGCGGTGCTCATCTCCGTTTCCAAGCCGAAGAGCCAGCGCTGTCCGAAGATTTCTCCATGGTCATGTGGCCGGCATGAATAAACACCGAGGCGCACGGAATGCTGTTACCTTCCCACCAAAGTGGTACCTATTTATCTACTTGCAATTTCTTGCTTTCAAGATGCTGGGTTGGCAGGAGCTGGGGCAAGAGACAGGAGCTCACTCTGTCATGTGGCACTCGGGTCTCGAACCGCTGAACTGTTGGCCTTTCAGTCTGCAGCTCAGTGTCTTAACCTCTGGCCACCGCGGCCCCTGGGGAATTATACAATGAAGCTATTTATTTATTTGTTTTATTCAATTTATACCCCATCCTCCCCGCCGAGGCAGGCTCAGGGCGGGGTATCCAAGATTTTCTATTCCTTGGCTCCATTGTCAACCTAAAAGGAGCATGCACCCAAGAAATTAGAAGGAGACTGAGCCTGGGAAAGGCAATCATAAAGGAGCCAGAAAAGATTCTTAAGTGTAAGGATGTGTTGCTGTTGTCCAAGATCAAGAAAATGCATACCATAGTATTCCCCATTGCTATCTATGGCTGCAGTCACACACACTAAATAATCCACTTTCCATCCACTTTCCAGCTGGATTTTGCCAGTTCACACGGTAAAAATCCAGTTGCAAAGTGCACTGAAGGTGGAAAACGTGGGATCATTTGGTGTGTGTGTCACCACAGCTTTTGGGTGTGAAAGTTGGACAATTTAAAAAGCTGGCAGGAAGAAATGGGTACCTGCTCCTTACGAGCGGGGGGGGGCACCTTTCCTCCGTGATCGGTGTTAGAAAGCAGCAGCGAGAGACGGAGCGAGCGACAGAGACTGTGCCTGGAAAGAGCATGACGGTGCGGCGAGTACTGGAGCCGATTGGACGAGGAGTCGAGCTGCCTCGTTCATGTTCTCTGGGGGCCATCTGCTGGACAGAAGCCGCTACTGCAGAGAAAACTACCATCGAAGTCCACCATCGAATCCAAAGGAAAAGATCCTGCTGTTAGGTGCCTAGTTAGGAAAAATACCCTCCCCTCACCATTGTACCCTAGCTTAGATCAATTGTGTGTGTGTGTCTGTAAACCGCCCTGAGCCTCATGGATAGGGCAGTATATAAATCGCTAATGTAATGTAATGCTTGAAATGGGGTGTTGGAGGAGAGCTTTACAGATACCGTGGACTGCCAAAAAGACAAACCAGCAGGTTCTAGACCAAATCATGCCCGAACTCTACCTAGAAGCTGAAAATGACTAAACTGAGGCTATCGTACTTTGGCCACATTATAAGAATACAAGAGTCGCTGGAAAAGACAATAATGCCAGGAAAGGCTGAAGGCGGCTGGAAAAGACGAAGACCCGCCATGAGATGGATTGACTCAAGTCAAGGAAGCCACGATCCTCAGTTTGCAAGACCTAGGATTGATAGGATATTTTGGAGGTCAAATCCATAGGTTTGCTATAAGGCGGAAGCAACTTGATGTCATTTCACATTCACACGGGACTAGACTCTTCCTTGGTCTCTCACCTGATGGTTAACTTAGGGAGGCTGGTGGGGACTTGTTACACTGGGCAGTGAGGATTCACTCCCCAGCCTTCTTGTGGCCCCGGTCACACGGCAAAGTTGCCGCGGGAGAGGCACGGAAGGTGGGCGGATTATCCGGGCGCGATCACACCCCAACATCTGGGAAGTGGAGGGCACCCATGGCTTACCCCCGACAATGCGTGTTAAAAAACTAGTACCTCCAAGGTACTAGTAAACGTTTGCCACGGGCTGCCTCCAGACGCTGGTGGTGTGATCGCGCTGGCACGCGGCATTCCCCTCCGGTCCCTCGTTTACCCGCCAGCACCGAGGGAAGGACCCGTGGTGTGCCGCCGGCACGTCTGATCGCGTAATCGTGAATCAAACTGCGCCGGGGCAATTAGTCACGCCTCCTCCCCCGCAATATCTGGCCCGTGTGACCGGGGCCTGTGTTTAGTTTTTTTTTTTTTTGGTAAACAAATTTTTATTTTCTTAGGAACATAACATATAAGATTAAATCATTCAGTCCATTGTTTACCTCATTCCCTTCCTCCCCTCCCTCCAGTGGCTTCCCGCAATGCTTCTCCCCCTTCTTACAAATTTCATTATATCATTAACACATCATTTGTTATCATCCAACCTCAAGATAACATCATTTGACTTAATATTGATCTAAACATATTAAGTTTTGTTTTACATCCCAGTTCTTTTCCAGATATATTTTAAAGTCATTCCATTCTTGAAAAAACACGTTGTCTTCTTGATTATTCAACTTCTTTGTAATTTTATCCATTTCTGCCATGAACAGAACTTTTTGTATCCAGTCTTCGATTTCTGGTACTTTCTCAGTCTTCCAAAATTGTGCATAAATCATCCTCGCTGTTGTAATAAGGTACCAGAATAAAGTCCTTTTAGTCGAGTTAACTTCTTCCATTTTTAGTCCCAAAAGCAGAATTTCAGGCGCTTTCTTGAAAGAGCACTTAAGTATTTTTTGCATTTCTTTGTGGACTTTTGTCCAAAAGAGTGTAGCTTTTTCACAAGTCCACCACATATGGTAAAATGAGCCCTCATGTTTTTTACATTTCCAACATTTATTTGACATATTCTGGTTCATATTTGCAATTTTCTTTGGGGTCATATACCACCTATACATCATTTTGTAACAATTCTCTCTAACATTGGTACAGGGTGATATTTTAATAGCATTTTTCCACAAATATTCCCAGGTTTCTATGTCAATTTCCTTATTCATATTTATTGCCCATTTTAACATTTGCTCTTTCACAGTCTCATCTTCTGTATACCATTTTAACAACACTTTATACATTTTAGAGATATCTTTTCCCCCTCCACTCTCCCATACCTTTTCCATTTCATTTTTTTCCTCTCTAAAACCATAATTTCTTTTGTCTGACCTAAAAAGGTCAGAGATCTGCATGTATTTCAACCATTCATATTCATATTCAATTTCATTCTGCTTTTTCATTACCCATTCTGTTCCCTCTTTTTTTATTATGTCTTTATACAGCAACCAATCTTTGTCTCTACGTCTTGAGTAAGATGTTAACACTTCCACTGGTACAATCCAAAGTGGCCTTACATCACCAAAATATTTTTTATATCTCATCCATACCACAAATAATGCTTTTCTTACCACATGATGCTTAAAAAAGCTATCCATTTTTGTTTTGTCATACCATAAATATGCATGCCAACCAAATCTACAATCATGACCTTCTAACCCCAATAGCTTATCATTTTCTAATTTCACCCATTGCTTCAACCAGGTCATACAAACCGCTTCATAATATAATCTGAGATTTGGTAGCTGTAGTCCACCTCTGTCCTTGGCATCACAAAGTATTTTCATCTTAATTCTCGGTTTCTTGCCTGCCCAAACAAACTTTGATAGTTCTTGTTGCCACCTTTGCAGCAAATCTGTCTTACTAAGTATTGGTATTGTTTGGAACAGGAACATCAAACGTGGTAGGACATTCATTTTTATAACTGAAATTCTTCCCATCAGTGACAAGTTCATTTTGTCCCATTTCTTAAAGTCTTGGGTTAACTTAGCCCATAGTTTTTCATAATTGTTCTTATATAAGTCTATATTCTTTGCAGTTAACTCAATGCCTAAGTATTTCGTCTTCTTTACCACTTCACATTGTACCAAATTTTGTAGTTCCACTTGTTTTTGTTTCGTCATATTTTTGCAAATAAGCTTCGTTTTATTCTTGTTTACATAAAATCCTGCCAATTCTCCAAAATCTTTTATTTTTTGAAATAGTAACGGTAACTCTTCCGTCGGGTTTTCCACAATAAACATTACGTCATCTGCAAAAGCACGGTATTTATATTTAAAACCTTTATGTGTCAAACCCTTAATCTCTTGATCTTGTTGTATTTTTTGTAAAAGTACCTCCAACACCCAAATGAACAATAGCGGTGACAAGGGACAACCCTGCCGAGTACCTTTCTGTACCTTGAAGCTATCGGTCAATTCTTTATTTACAT